TTTATCGTTTTCTCGTTTTCTCGGCCCCTGGTTCGTTTTCTTGTTTTCCCGTGTTTTCGGCTCCTGGGTCGTGGTCTCGTGTTCTCGAGCCAAGCGTTTTCTCGTGACTTCGGCCCTTGGGTCGTGGTTTCCTCGGACCCTCGTTCGTTTTCTCGCGCAAGCAGATCCTTGCGGTCTGTTGCACAGACGCAGCGAACGTGCAGGACCAAGAGTCGACCTCGAGCGAGGAGCTGATCCACGACTATGTGACGGTCACTCTGAGCGGCCTGGACCATGAGCCAGCGGCACGGTCCAAGTTGGAGACGCTGCACAAGATGCTCTGGGACGCGGCCAACAACGGGGGTGGCGATGGGACGGCAGGCGCAGTGCCAGCGAAGTGGAAGGAGCTCAGCGAGCACTTCGAGAGCGCCACTATCGACACGCCGGACAAGGTCAGGGTCTTCATGGAGCAAAGGGCCGTCAAGGGGCGGTTCGGCTTCACAAAGTTGGACAAGGACCTGGGCCAGTTCATGAGGGGCGTGATCCTCTGCGGCTTCTTTGGGTCGTGCAAGGACAAGCTCCTCGCCATCGCGGCGTACATCACCGATCAGGTGGAAGCCAGGAAGGCCTCCTCTCTCGAGCTGGACATCTCGAAGAAGGTCAAGATCGAGGCCCAGCTGGACAACCAGGCGGCGGGCCACCGCCTACATGGTCTTCTACGCGTGCATCCTCGCGTCGGACTCGAAGGTGTTCAAGGAGTGGTCCTCGCTCGACAAGATGCTGGAGGTGTGCATCGTGGTGCAGGGTCTGGACCACACGGGCAAGTTCTCTCTGAAGCGGGACTCAGAGGTGACGAAGACGTTGGTGGACTGCAGGCCTGGCAAGAGCCGCACGGTGTTCTCAAGGAAGATGAAGGCCGTCTTGAAGGCCTCGAACCCGGTGGACGAGATCCTGGGCATGGTCCTCTCCACTGCCGAGAAGTAGAGGGAAAGGCTCACTGGGTTGGAAGTCCCGAGAGCCCAGGTAATGATCGTTCTGATCATTCTCCTAGGGCTCAAGGACGTGCTGCTGTCGAGCGGGTTCGCGCAGTCAGCGAAGCACTTCGCCATATTCAGCATCGGCGTCCTGCTCGGTTGTCACGATCTCCAGGCGGAGGCCTTGAGGCCGCGAAGTTTTTGAAGGAAGGGATCAAAGAGTTACAGAAGAAAAAAAAACTTGCTTCGTTTTCTCGTTTCCTTGTTTTCTCGGCTCCTCGGTCGTGGTCTCGTGTTCTCTAGCCAAGCGTTTTCTGGTGATCTCTGCCCTTGGGTCGCGGTTTCCTCATCGTGTTCTCGTTTTCTCGGCCCCTGGGTCGTGGGTCGTTTTCGCGTTTTCACATTTCCTCTGATCATGGGTCGTCGTCTCGTTTTTTCGGCCCCTGGTTCGTTCTATCGTTTTTTTGTTTTCTTGACTCCCTGGTCGTGGTCCAGTTTTCCCGGATCCTGGTTCGTTTTCTCGTATTTGTTTTTCTCGGCCCCTGGTTCGCAGTCTCGTTCTCTCGAGCCCGGATTCCTTCTATCGTTTTCTCGTTTTCTCGTCCCCTGGGTCGTGGTCTCGTTTTCTCGGACGCTGGTTCGTTCTCGCGTTTTCTGTGCCCTTGGGTCGTGGTCTCGTTTGCTCGGATCTGGTTCGTTTTCCCCTTTTTCTCGTGTTTTCGGCCCCTGGGTCGTGGTCTCGTTTTCTCGGACCTTGGTTCGTTGTTTCGTTTTCTCGTTTTCTTTTTTTTTTTTTTTTTTTTTTTTTTTTTTTTTTCTCTCCGTTGCTTTTTCGAGCCCTGAAATATGTTTCGTGTTCTTGCTTTCTCGGCCCCTGGTTCGTAGTCTCGTTTTCTCGGACCCTGGTTCGGTTTCTCGTGTTCTCCGTTTCTCGGCCCCTGTATTCTGGTTTGGGTTTCTCTGACCTTGTTTCGTTTTCTCGTTTTCTCGGCCCCTTGGTGTCGTTTGCTCGGCTTCTGGTTGGTCTTCTCGTTTTTTCGTTGTCTCGGCCCCAGGGTCGTGGTCTCGGTTTCTCGGGCCCTCGTTCGTTTTCGCGTTTTCTCTGCCCCTGGGCTTTTGTTTCGTTTTCTCGGCCCCTGGTTTGTTGTCTTGTTGTCTCGTTTTCTCGGCCCCTGGTTCGTGATCCTATTTTCTCTGACCCTGATTCGTTGTCTTGTTTTCTTGTTGTATCGCCCCCTTGTTCGTCGTCTTGTTTTCTCTGACCCTTGTTTGTTTTCTCGTTTTCTTGTTTTCTCGGCCCCTCCCAGTTTTCTCGGACCCTGGTTTGTTGTATCGTTTTCGCGTTTTCTCTGCCTTTGGGTCGTGGTATCGTTTTCTCGGACCCCGTTTCGTTTTCTCGTTTTCCCGTTTTCTCGGCTCCTGGGTCGTGGTCTCGTTTTCTCGGGCCCTGGTTCGTTTTCGCGTTTTCTCTGCCCCTGTTTCTCGTTTTCTCTGCCCCTGGTCGTCGTCTCGTTTTCTCTGACCCTGGTTCGTGTTTTCGTTTTTTGTTTTCTTGGCGCCTGGGTCGTGGTCCAGTTTTCTCGGACCCTGGTTAGTTGTCGCGTTGTCTTGTTTTCTCGGCCCCTGGGCTGTGGTTTCGTTTTCTCGGACCCTGGTTTGTTATCTCGTTTCCTCGTGTTCCCGGCCCTTGGTTCGGAGTCTCGTTTTCATTGGCCCCTGTCATGTTTACGTTTTCCAGTTTTCTCTGCCCTTGGGTCGTGGTCTCGTTTTCAGGGACCGATATTCGCGTTTTCTCGGCCTGGGCCGTGGCCCCGTTTGCTTGGGCCATGGCTTGTTTTCTCGTTTTCTGGTTTTCTCTGCCTTTGGGTCAGTATCTCGTTTTCTCGGACACTGGTTCATTGTCTCGCTTTCTCGTTGTCTCGCCTTCTGGGTGTTGCTTTCGTTTTCTCTGGCCCTTGTGTTTTGTATCGTTTTCGCGTTTTCTCTGCCCTTGGGTCGTGGTTGGGTTTTCTCGGGCAATGGTTTGTTTTTTCGTTGTCTCGTTGTCTTTGCCCCTTGGGTCGTGGTTTCGTTTTCTCTGACCCTGGTTAGTTTTCTCGTTTTCTCTGCCCCTGGGTCGTGGTCCAGTTTTCTCGGACCCTGGTTAGTTATCTTGTTGTCTTGTTTTATCGACCCCTGGGCTGTGGTTTCGTTTTCTCGAACCCTGGTTTGTTTTCTCTTTTCCTCGTTTTCTCGGCCCTTGATTCGTAGTCTCCTTTTCTTGGGCCCTCATTCCTTTTTATCGGTTTCTCGTTTTCTCGACCCCTGGGGCGTAGTCTCGTTTTCTGGGACCGATATTCGCGTATTCTCGGCCTGGGCCGTGGTCCCGTTTGCTTGGGCCATGGTTTGTTTTCTTGTTTTCTGGTTTTCTCTGCCTCTGGGTCATTATCTCGTTTTCTCGGACCCTGGTTCATTGTCTCGTTTTCTCGGCTTCCAGGTTTTTGTTATGTTTTCTCGGGCCCTGGTTAGTTGTCGTCTTGTCGTTTTCTCTGCCCTTGGGTCTTGTTCTCGCTTTCTCGGGCCCTGGTTCGTTTTCTCGTTGTCTCGTTTTCTCGGCCCCGGGGTAGTGGTTTCGCTTTCTCGGGCATGGGCTTGTTTTCTCGTTGTCTCGTGTTCTCGGCCCCTGGGTCGTGGTCTCGTTTTCTCTGACCCTGGTTCGTTTTCTTGTTTTCTCGGCTCCTGGGTCGTGGTCTCGTTTTCTCTGACCCTGGTTCGTTTTCTCGGGCCCTGCTTCGTTTTCTCGTTTTCTCTGCCACTGGGCCGTGGTCTCGTTTTATCGGGCCCTGCTTCGTTTTTCTCGTTAGCTCAGCCCCTGGGTCGTGGTCTCGTTTTCTCTGACCCTGGGTCGTTGTCGTCGTCGTCGGACGTCGGTCGCACGTCGTTCGTCATCCGTCGCCGTCTTCGCATGACCTCGTCCTCGTCGTGACGACCACGACGAGGTCATTCGAAGACGGCGACAATGACGGCGACGGCGGCGACAACAACGATGAGGACGACGATGGCGTCGTACGAAGACGTCGAGCGACAGCGACGGCAACGACGACGGCGACGGGGGAGGATCGTCCGGCAGGGGGAGCTCAAGGGAGGGGGGTGGTAGCTAAGCCGCCCCTTCCCTTTTGGAAAGCGGGGGAGGGGAGGGGGAAAACAATGGAGAGAAGGGAGGAGGGGCTTCCCGCAGAGGGGGGTCAAAGGAGGGGAGGGGAGTTAAGCCCCCCTTCCCTTTCGCAAGGGGGGGAAGGGGTTGGGTCGCTTCATGGGTGCCGAAATGGGGGAGGGGTGGGCTGCTAAGCCCCCCCCCTTCGGAACCAAAGTGGGGAAAGGGGGGGGTAGCTTCCGGCAGAGGGGGGTCAAGGGGAGGGGGGGGGGCGGCTAAGGCCCCTTTTTCCTTTTCGCAAGGGGTGGGTGGGTGGGGTAGCTTCCGGGTGCCGAAGGGGGGGGAGAGGGGGGGTGCTAAGCCCCCCCCCGTTTCGAACCAAAGGGGGGAAGGAGGGAGGCAGCTTCTGGTAGAGGGGAGTCGAGGGGGGGGGGTAACTAAGCTCCTCTTCCCTTTGGACATGGGGGGAGAGGGAGGGCGAACTTCGGAGTAAAGAAAGGGGTGGAGGGGGGGGGGAGCTCCAGGGGGGAGGCGAAACGGGGAGGGAGGGGGAGGGGGCTTCCAGCAGGGGAGGTCGAAGGGAGGGGGGGTAGCTAAGGGGGATCTCCCCTTAAAAAGAATGAACGCCCCAGGGGTCCGTTCCCGTTCCCGCTCCCGCTCCCTTTCCCGTTCTCTCGTCCTCTCTCTGTTTCGTCCTCTCTCTCTCTCTCGTCCTCTCTCTCTCTCTCTCTCGTCCTCTCTCTCTCTCCTTCTCTCTTTCTCTCTTTTTTTTTTTTTTCTCTCTCTCTCTCTCTCTCTCTCTCTCTCTCTCTCTCTCTCTCTCTCTCTAGTAGTCGTAGTAGTAGTAGTAGTAGTAGTCGTCGTCGTCGTCGTCGTCGTCGTCGTCGTCGTCGTCGTCGTCGTCGTCGTCGTCG